ATTTCGAAATAATTTCTCATAAACATTTTTACATGATAGATCTGAATGCAGTATAGGCTGAATAAGTGACTCGCATAGCCCCCATTAAACACCTAAAACTCATCTTGGTCATACCACCAGCAGAGATAGAAGACGTCTTCTGAGAAATCTGCAGCATTAACAGTATCATCTTCATATTCTTAGGATCGAAGTTCTCCCACTGACAATCATAAACAGCCCATTCAAATACTTCTCCAGCATCCATGATCCTCTGTCCAATAAAGCAATCGGTTCCAACCTGCATAAAAACAAAGGGCATCTGCAAAAACGTGTTCTCCAATCCCCCTAAGAGTTCTGAAATTAAACCGAGAAGTAGGAACGTTAATCCAACGGCTGTAGGTCCACTGCACACATCCTCAACTTGGATTATCAGAGTCTTGATGGTCGCATGTCGTTTTATAATGTACTTCAGGTTTTTAAACACGTGTTCGTTTATTATCATTTTCTTTCTATCAAAGTCTTGATCGGTTCCATAGTTTAAGTTCTCGAAATGTTTCTCCGCATCTTTCCATACGTGGGTAACTTCGTCACTGAGGGCGCGCATTTGCGACTCAGCGTAACCGATGATGACTATAAAGTAGGCGGTGACATTGGCTGATATGTAACATATAGTGGCAACACTGGCCGCCATCATGAACCATGCTATCTCGTAGTTCGGTGACTCGAACATTGGTTCCAAACCTGCAAGATAAACTGAAATGTATAACATTATGGCAATAACTAATTCAGAGAAATATACCAAGATGTGACTTAAAATAGATGGAAGAATTATGATCAAAATTACATCCTTAAAAAAAGGATTTTTTAATAATACGGATGTGATTTCAAAACAAAATTGATTAACAAAAAATACCGTAAATCACAAGCATATCTTCAGTCAAGTGTCTGCCGGGGCGGAGCATGGGCATGGTGACGTAGAGAGTTCCATTTCCCATGATCACTGCCCAATAGAAAATGGCTCGCTTCTTCACATCGCGCAAGTACCTCAGCAGGTTCGTGTACATCCTGGTACCTGGCACCATGTGAGAGTCGAAGTCCAGGAACGCATCAGTGAGATTCCTAATGTCTTTACTGGAAATGAAAAAATACATAATACTATGGAAGTATAGGATGATGTTTAAGGTGAAGATGATAATGCCATAGATATTAATACAAATCCAAATGCTTTATTGCATTCCACAATGTTTGCAGATAAAGGGGCAGCGTCAGTGTCACAATTTTCAAGTCCAACCTATTTATTTCAAAGATGACTATTGGCAATGTAAAATGTTGTTAGGTTAACGTGGAAGATGATGACGATGAAAGTAATAAAGATGAAGAGTTGGTATTGAAGTCAGAATTGCTTCCTACAAACGCCGAAAATCGAGTGCTGAATTCAGACTAAGAGCAGATCTAAGATGGAAGAAAATACGCATGAATATGGCAGACACAAGTAAACTTACATATACAAAAACATGTACAGCAACTTCAGGGTACCGATTTCGCTAGAGATGCCCAAGGAGAGTATAACCATGGCCGCGCCCAAGTCTTCCGTCTCCCGACTCCTCACGAACACGAACCACACCATGCAGATCAGGTAGACATACAAGTAGCTCAGAGCTGCCACTACTACCACTATGTAGAAGATGAATGGGATACCTGGATGGGGTAATTAGAAGTTCTAATTCAGATATCATGATCAAAACACGCGGTGCTCCGTCTTGAGAAGGGATTTACTGTAACATATCCAGTGATGAAAGGGTGATTTAGGTTTACAAAATTTTTTCCATAATTAAAAATGAATCAGTGAATGAAACAGTCTATAATGATGATGAAGTTATTTATGAACTAAATCCCATATGAGAGAGACTAATTATATATTGGACACTCTATGATGTTTTTAGTACTTCTGTATAGTATGTTGTGTTACCTGTCTTCTTCTTGCCATACACATTCAGTGTGAGAACCTTCAAGAAGACCGCTACATTCCATATCATAGTCGGCAGGTCGCAGTAGTCCAACCCGAACTTACGTATTTTATTCCACATCTTTGGGGTCTGCGGATAATTAATAGATACGAATCTCAATAGATACGTAATGGTTTGTAATAGGACTAGCTTAATAGTATTTAATCATATATAAATGTTCTAGCAGGTATGGTTAAACTACTACTTAATAAACAAAACAAATATTTGAGAAAGAAAGAAAAAACATTTATTCAGCACATTTATTTCATCTTTGGCGCAGTGGTTGGGCAACTGACTGCCGCGCAACGTGTCGCGCAACAACTCTTTGTGTGATCCACAGATTGTTGTTCCGGGTCTGGGTGTCATGTGTATGTGAACTTGTATGTTTGTAAACGCACCCACGACACAGGAGAAAATCCTAATGTGGGGCAACGTTTTCTATAAAAAAAAATCCCCAATGTAGTCCTATAAGGTACTGAAAAATTTATGACAGAAGGTTTAGGTGCTTCTGCATTTTCTCTTTTGCAGAGAAAGTTCTTAAGCAACTAATTACACAAGAAAATCAATTGCACCAAGAATTAGGCAATTTTTCTCAATAACGATTTCAATATTCCAATATTTCAAAAATACAAAATTAAAGATTCAAAAATGATGCCTCAAAACTACTAATTTGCTTTTACCTCGAAGCGACTAATTTCTCCAGAAAACCGCTAACAATATGACTCAATATTCCAACTAGTCCTTCAAAATACAGTTTCAGTATTTCAGGGTAAGCAATTAAATTATTAGAGTCCTAAGTGCCGTGTAAATAAACAATTAACACAGCGACATGTCAAATTACAGTTCGTTGCTACTTCATACAAAGGTTAATTGTAATATTAAAGAAATCTAAACTTTCTTACATTATATTTTGGACTACGTACCTGCGTTATGAAGTAAGATAACATTCAACTTTTTTTTAGCATGTAATCATCAATTCTGGTATCTATTATAGATAATAATAACTGGTATAATTTGGACTATTATTTAAAAGCAAAAGATTATATTTATTCGGCCTGTATACTTAATGACATTTATATCACGTTGTAATTTAAACATAACATCACGCCTTTTATCCCCGAAGGGATAGGCAAAGGTGTACATTATGCCACTGTACAATGCAACAATCGCTTTTCACTATTTATGTTATGAGTCACATGTAATAGGGGGTGAGCCTATTGCCTTACACCGGGCACATTTCCAGGCTCCGTTCTAATACTGAGATTTTTTAAAAACCCAGTACTTTCCCTGCCTGCACTTGCAAACACTCGGTTTATGAGGCAGTCAAGTCAACACTTGTACAGTTTTATTATATGTATAGATTTACTTGTATGAAGTTTCATCAATACGTTTATTTGTTTCTACCACGATCCGTGGTTATAATTATGTCGTCAGCACAGTAAGAGGTGTCAGAATATAATGGGGCAGCTGTTGCATGATGAACTTTCCCAATGCAAGTAATTACAGGGTTGGTTGATAAAATGATATAGTGGGTTATTATGGGTGCCGAGGTGAAATGTAAAATTAATTTATGATAGGTTAATTTGTGTTTTGGACGTCTATAGTTAATAAGTATTACGGAATCCTTCTCTATATCAATACGTTCTTGTTATTCTATTACCAATTTTTGCTTGTCATATGTAGAAATACTCAAACGCTACTTAATTTTAAGACGCGCTTACTTCTGTCGATACAAATTCTGTGTATCGTGTACTTGAATACGACTTAGCATTTCAGTATTCGATTATATATTTATTTGATTCTGGGCTGCGGATAACTTAACAAGTTGCCGGGGAAGTAGGGGTAGTGACGGAGTAGGTTTTAGTCAGTAAACCTGACACTACATCACCCAAGGCTTGGGAAGTTATTGGATGATTTTCCTTCCGTCAAAAAAAAGGATTTATTTAAATAAAACCTCAGTCAACTGAGGTTAAAAATTAATTTGCTAATATTTAAGGTTATTTTAATGTGTGAATCTTTTTGTTTTCAGTTATTTGTATGTATTTATAATATCTGTTTAAATTTAGTCCAATCATTGAAATATATTTATTCTGCCCGCGACTTCAATCCCGTTTTCTCCCGTTCCCATAAGACTTTCAGGATATTTTTTCTATCATAGAAACCTTCTCCATACATCGATCGGTCGTCAATCGGTCCAGCCATTCTCATTTTTATATATTTACTAATTATTGAAAGTGCTTAATATAATCTGTATTATTATTATCATCTACTGTCTGTTACACTGTCTGTTATACTGGTGGACTGTGGCCTTCCTCTATCTAAAGAGAGACCCATATACTCGTCACCCAATTTGACACCCACGGAAAGAGCAGTGATGGTGACCATTATATTCGATTGTACCGTCTCATTGGCTTAAAGAGTCTCTTTTAAACTTCATACAATAACATAATATAATTAAAGTCGAACATGCTAAACCAAATGTATTTAACAAATACACTAAGTAAATCGAAATCGAGTAAATACTGGCTTGTATTCCGATTAATGCAATGTTTGTAACGTATCGTATCGTACCGACGTTCCGATTGTTTGCGCAATCGATTCTAAAGTTATTAGGATTTAGCAGCAGTACTGATGCCAGCAAAACATAATATGTATGTGTACTGTTCATTACGCTTCGTTATGTCATTTGTGGGATTACATTATCCTTTTCATGTATGTGGCTCTTTGTATTATAATAATAGATAGGTTTTCACATTAATTTCTCAGATAAAATTAAAAAAATCTTTTAATTTAGTGTTATGTAGGTATTTGCATGTACTGCAAATGCAGTGTCAAAGGTCTTTAGAAAAAGAAACAAAAAATCAATATTAAACATGATTTATTGACAAACTACATTATTATTTATATTAACAACTCACTTTTAGAACTCAAGCGGCGTCTAAAAGACACTAAACGACATCTATTAATGCTATTTTCTGTTCCCATAATTATGGTCTTTTCGGCGGTCTTCTCTCCTTACTTCATAGTAGACCTAAGAGCAGTGTACGCGGAATAAATGCCTCTGAAGACGGACATCAACGCACTGAAGCTGAGGGTCCTAACGCCCCCAGCAGACAGGGTCATGGTCTTCTGGGCATTCTGCAGCATCACCAGCACCAGTTTCATATTGGATTTGTCAAAGTTTTCCCACTTGCAGTCGTACACTGATGCTTCGAACATTGTGCTTGCGTCCATCACTCGCTGTCCAGCGAAACAGTCCATTGATACCTGAAGAAAATTAGGAAAGTGGTTTTGACCTGAATAGTATAAACGTATTGGAGTAAATGGTCTAGTTTAGACGTTAATAAAACATTAAAACAGTGCTGTTTTACTGCCCTGTTTTGTGACTGCCTCGTTGGCCGAGTGGTCACAAGTGCGACTGCCGGATAAGACGTCTCGGGTTCAATTGCCGGGTCGGGCAAAGGATTACTGGGTTTTTAAAAAAAAAACTCATAAATTGTGAAAAGTAGGGGTTACATTGTAGGAGTGGTGTTATGTTATGTCAGTACTATTAATGCTGTATAGGTAAAACATAGTATAAAAAAATTGTTATTCTTCTTTTACCTTAAGTTTTATTTTACCAATTAAGTCAATCCTCTTGAAAAAGTATTCCTTACCTAATCTTCTTAGCTAAACCAACTAAACAAGACAATCATGGAAATAAAACCAACCTGCATCAATGCAAAGGGAAGCTGCAAAAATGTATTCTCCAACTTTCCAAGTAGCTCTGACAGCAACCCAAGAACTAACAGCACGAAGCCAATTGCAATCGCTTGTCTAAAAACTATTTCCACTTGGTTCAACAAATTAATTACATTTGCATGTCGACCAATGATCTCTCGGAGTCGTCGCTCCACAAACTGATTTATTATAACCTTCACTTTAGGATTGTACACGTCCAATTCTTCGGATGTGTCTTCTGTTTGGGTTTTGGCATATTTTATAGCATCTGACCATAGCTCCAGCATTTCCTCGCTTAAAGCCAGCATCTGAGCCTCAGCGTAGCCTGTGATGACGATTAGAAAAGCTGTCACGCTGGCTGGGACGTAGCAAACGAAGAATACTGAAGCAATCATCATGAAGTATGCGATCTGGTAGTTTGGCGTCTCGAGCATTGGTTCTAACCCTGTGAATGGAAAAATTGTGACGACAAAACGCGAGGACACATATTTTAAATTGGGATAATTTGTTTTTGGCATTCTTCGGATATATTGTACTTAAAGAAGGTTCTAGTTTCAGATTCCTTGCTATTACTGTGAAAGTCCAAAACATTAAAAATTAATTTTATAAATCGAACTCGAAAAATTCGTTTGTACTCGAATCAGCAAACAACCTTTTTTAAGGGGAGAAAATCATCGAATGACTGGTCCCGCCTGGGTGAGGCGGGAGGGAGTGTGAGACTCTTACTGACTAAAAAACACCCCTTTCCTTCTCCTGCACGCCGAGCCGGAGCCCCGGTAACCCGTTAGGTTCTCCGCAACTCCGAAGCAACCAACCCCTAATCGGACATTTAAAATCCTCACAAACTATTTCAGTTAGAGCATAAATAGAATGCCGTTCAAAAATTACCATAAATCAGGAAATAGTTCTCCGGCAAGTTCCTGCCACGCATAGCGACTGGCTTCATCACATACAGCACTCCGTTCCCAGCCACCACCACCCAGTATAGCATGGCGCGCTTCTTCACATTCCTCAAACACTTCATCAGGTTCGTGTGGAATCTGGTCCCTTTGATCGTGTTGGCGTCACATTCTAGGAAGCCATCTGCTATTTTATGAGTTTTGTCCCTGGAGAAAAGTATATGTTGCAGAAACAATTTTGATCTGATTCTAATCTTTGTCATTATATGCTTTAAATAGTATTCAAAAGACTAATGCTTTGTCTGATCCTGAAATCCTGTCATTAACGACAAATCATCTTCTAACAATGACGACAAATCATCTTCTAGCATTCTTACAATATCCAAAAAATAAAAAAACATACATGTAATAACACATATAAAACAGTTTGAAGGGTCCAATTTCGCTGGATATGCCAAGAGACAAGACAACCATGGCTCCGACCAGCTCTCCTGTGATTCTGGCCCGCCAGAAGACGAACCAGGTCATAGAGAAGAGAAACACGTAGTAGAAGCAGGCGGCAGTGACTGCTGTCACGATGTAGGACAAGATCGTGATGCCTGGGAAGAAGAAATTAAGTTTGATGATTAGAAAATTCTTAAAAGTTAAAAAGGTATTGTTACCGGATAAGGAGTATGTAAAGGGTGTATATTACAAGATATGATGGCTTATGAGAATAGAAAAGAAGATATTGTGGATATTCCACCAATCCCAGTCTGAGCTTGCCGAAGGTACTTGAAACTATCTGTCACTTGATATCAAAATTAAAATGAATCAATTAGATTCTTCGTACCGTAATCTTCGGAATTCAGTATATTTTTTAATAGGCACTAAAGTTATCTACTCCAATCTTCTTTATCTTACGATCCATTTTTCCTCCTTCCTCCACCTTCATCTAACTTACCCTTTTTATATTTACTGTCAATATTAACAGTTAGAACTCTCAGGAGTATGGAGACGTTTTCCAGCATCGTCGGCAGGTCACAGTACTCCAAACCAAACTTACGAATCTCATGTATGATTTCGTGAAAAGTCAACATAATTTGATCTTGCTAAAAACCGCTTTTTGGACTCTAGAACTCAAAAATAGAAATGAGCCTTTTAAAAGCAGCTAGGTTCGTGGTTTATATACCCTTCTTTTCTTGTTAAAATAAGACATTTTTTACATATTTTGCCACTAAACACTGTAATCATATCTTCAGCTGAAAGGGATAACTGCTCACACCTGACGACTGACACATTTTTCCAAATGGATCATATATAAGTACTATTTGTTGTCTTTTTGTATCTACCTCGTTTCTTTGTTTAATGTTGACCAAGATATTGTATTATTCGAGATAATATAAAATATTTTCTGTTAACCATGTGGGGGTTGGAAGTATGGGAGAGCCATGCTTTGGCATGATTGGCCGGCTCGGCCGAAGTGATACCACGGCCTACAGGAAACCGACGTGAAACAACGCTTGCGTTGTGTTTCGTCGTGTGAGTGAGGTAAGCGGAGGCTCAATTAGTGATTGGGGGGGGCTTCCCCCATTCTCCAATCTCCCCATCAGAAGAAAGGGGTATCAGAAGAAAAAAAGTAAATATGTCCTAATAAATTCCCAATACATGTGCACCTTCAATAAAATAATATCGTTGCACACACACGAGTTGAGTTCTATAGAGGTGTCAATACGTGTTTATGTGTGTGCGTGACATGCGACACACTATCATTACATGGTAAATACTAAAGGAGAATCGATAGGGTTCCGTAGACATACCTAGCACTAATGTAGTGTTTAATCTAATATGAAATAAATATTTTTCTAAAAGAACATAACATAACTGGGGTAGGTAGAGGTGCACAATACGGCACTTAACGCCACTGTACAATGTAACAACAACTTTTCACTATTTATGTTATGACTCCCATGTAATAGGGGGTGAGCTTATTCCCATAAACCGGGCACATTTCCAGACTCCGTGCTACTACAGAGATTAAAAAAAAAACAGTAATAGAATAGAAAATAGAATAGAAAACTTTTATTTCAGACCGGAGTCCATAATTAGGGTTAGTAACAATTTTAACTTAAATTCTAGTGTTAGTAGGTTACATGAATTAAATTTCGGCATGGAGCCGTATCCACCTTCCCCACATCGGGGAATCCCACTGATCTACGAATACACTGAGAATGCTGTTGGTGCCGCCACGAACGCGAGCCATCAGGGACGCACATCTTTTTCTAATGATGGCGGAAAAACTATCAATATTATTATCTGCAAACATCCCTGACGCACTACATCGCCATGGCAGCCGCAGCAGCACCCTCAGTGCATTATTATACTGAACGCGCAGGTCGCTGTAGGCCCGCCGAGTGAAGCCGACCCACAGGCTGCACGTGTAAAAAGACTGACAATAGGCTTTGAAAAGGGTAACTTTAACCGGCTTCGTACAGCGCGCAAACCTGCGGGCCAGCATGTTGCAACGGACCGCCAGCGACCTACGTTCCCTTTCAATGTCACAATTGTCTTTAAGGTCTTCAGTGACCCAGTGGCCTAGATATTTAAATTTGTCCACCCTTCTCAGTGGTTCTCCACAAAGTGCTACGTCTGGGATACATGGATAAGTCAGACTGCCAGCTTTAAAAACCATTAGTTCGCTCTTAGTGACATTATATTTGAGCCCATGATTCACCGCATAGTCTTCACAAACAGCAATCAGTCGCCTCAGAGCACCGATTGATGGGCTCATCAACACCATGTCGTCTGCGTAGCTAATATTGTTAATGCACACCCCGTCAATATGACATCCAACATTGGTGCTGCTAAGCCCAACAATCAGCTGGTTCATGTACAGGTTGAAGAGTCGGGGCGAACTGAGCCCCCCTTGCCTCACCCCACACTTCAACCGATACACGTCCGAATACGAACCATTCCACTTCACGCTATTGCTTTGACTACTGTACCAGTATTTAAATATGGATACTAATTCAGATGGCAATGTAGTTTCAGATTCTAGTTTACGCCACAAAACATCATAACAAACGAGATCAAATGCCCGTGAGAGATCTAGAAAACAAGCAAAAATAGGCGTTTTCCTGTCTGTATAGTATTGAACAGTCTGCTTGAGACAAAAGATTGCACTCTCAGTTGATAGCCCAGGCTTAAACCCGAACTGGGCATCATGTAATTCAAGGTGACTAGCCAATTGTTTATCAAGCAGACTATCCAACACCTTAGCTATGACAGTAGCCAGAGAAATGGGCCTATAATTGGTAATGTCAGAGACATCCCCTGTTTTATTTTTCACAATAGGTACTACCATTGTGTGCATCACATCATCCGGTAAGTAACCGTGACTAACGCACAGGTTGAAAAACAATGCAAGTACTCGCGGCAGGTGTCGCCCCGCATACCTCAGGTGCTCGATGCTGAGTCCATCATGACCCGGGGATTTACCCCTCTCCATTTTATTTATGATGGCTGATATCTCTTGTGCCGTAAAAATAACAGAAATTCCCCTATTGGGCACAGCATCAAACACCTGCAAAGGCTGCACACATCCAGTAAAAGGAGGTGACTCAATCTGGAAATGACGTCTAAATGCATTGGCTATATCAACCGGCTCGTGTACGCCCGCCACGCTCACCGGGGGACTCGACTTCGGATTCAAACTATTTGTTGATTTCCAAAATGAACCAAATTTCTTTTTAGTGTGATGTTTAGCTAGAATATCCATTTTTATTTGTTGTTGGTTATCTTGACAGTATTTCAAATTAGTCTTAAATATTTTTCTGGATTCGCACATTTTATCATAAACACCACCACTAGCAGGTTTACCATAGAACAACCATGTTCGGTAACAAATCCGAGCCTCCCTGTGAGCGTCACGAACATATTTGTTCCAACCAGGAATGTACCTTTTACTATTATGACGCATCTGTTTATGTACATAAGTACGTTCGGCACCGTCCTTTAGAATTTTAATCAATCCATTATACATTGTATCTAACACTTTCACATGATTAGCATTAGAACACATTTTATGCGCACAATGCCGAAATTCATCTGGAAAATCTATTAATTTTAATTTGGAATTACAAAAGTTTGAGTATTCATTGATCTGGTCGCCATCTCTGTCACCCCATATCACTCTATTGCAAGTATAGATAGGATTCACTAGTTTAGGTGTAATTAAATGAATGTTACATTCAACTAATAAAGGTATATGATCTGACAGATAAACTCCATATAAAACTGACACATTTACAACTAATTGTCGTGCCGCACCGCTCACGACACAGTGATCAAGCCAGCGCAATGCACCGTTAGCAGTACTCTCAAACGTAAACGTGTCCTTCGGAAGTAGTTCCATATCAACACATGACCACGATTGCTCCCCACATACTGTCAATAATTCAGTTGAAAAGCGCTCACCTGGATGTGCGTTAAGATCCCCCAATATAAACACTGACTCAATATTCATGCTCTCGGTAACAGCGATAATACTTTGCCCGATTCGGGAATCGAACCCGAGACTTCTTGCCCGGCAGCAGTCGCACTTGCAACGACTCGGCCAACGAGGCAGTCAGTTTTTCCAAAAGAATACAGCATTATGTTAAACTAGCTACGCCCGTACGTTTTCACCCGCTCTGCTCGTCTCGTATTGGTCGTAGCGTGATGTTTTATAGTCTATTATAGTCTTCCTCGATAAATGAACTATCCGAAACAATAATAATTATTCAATTCGGACCAATAAACAAACGAACTCGAACATTTATTAATATTGAGTATCGATGTGAAACATACTTTTCTGCCACTTACAGAAATAATAAAAAACCTATTATTAAGCCAAATTTACCGTACCCTGCCCTTGAAGGACCTTAAAATTGAAAATCTTTACTTTTTAATTAGCGTTCGAAAAGTTTTTTTATATACCACGATGGTGGCAAAAAAGCACACGGCCCACCTGATGGTAAGCGGTTACCGTGGCCTATGTATGTACATACGCTTGCAACACTTAAGTGTATTTATTCAACTTCATTTTTCTGTTACTGTGTGACAAACTGTCAACATGATATTTTAAAATTCAATGCCTAACGTCACTTCCACGAGCATTTTGTCTCGACAACTTTTACAAAATAATTAGAAAACAATTATTAACTAATCTTGAAAATAACTTTTAATAAATTCGAAATTATTTAATTAAACTTACGTAACAAATCGTTTTTGAGTAATTTTCCTAAAGATTTCCTTTGTTTTGGATAGAAAACAGGAAATAACGTGAACTTATCACTTTTCTGTCATTTAATTTTAAATAATTATGAGTCACGACTCGTCCACCCACTGGATTGAACAACTGAAAGTTATATTTCTTAATTACTACTACTTTTTAAATTATATAAGCAAAATTCATAATTTCTTTAATTTATTAATACAATTGTATCGATAACTGGGTCACAGTAGCTTGATAGATGAAGATGTCATCGTTAATAATTACAGACGAGGTAATATGAACGTAACCTAATAATATACTTCAACTGCCTCATAAACCCAATACCTGCTCCTACCTCTAGGATCTCCAGCAAATGAAATGTCCAAATTAAGTCTTAGCTCTTTATTGACTAGAAAGCTTCTAAATATTTGATCTTAGTGTAGTGTACACAGAATACGTCGACCTGATGATGTTCATGAAGTAACTGAAACTCAAGGTCGCCATCCCACCAGCTGTCAGGGTCATAGTCTTCTGTGAATTCTGCAACATTACCAGTACAATCTTCTTGTTCACCTGGTTGAAATTCTCCCATTTGCAATCGTAAACAGCGTGTTCAAATTTTATATTTGCATCCATTATTTTCTGCCCCAAAAAGCAGTCGGTTCCCATCTGAGACAAGGTGAATGGGAGTTGCAATATCGTGTTATTTAACCCACCAAGTAATTCCGCTACCAGACCTACGATTAGAAACAAGAATCCGACAGCATTAGGTCCCCTCATCACGTCTTCGATTTCTTCAAGAAGGCTCACGTTGAAAGCATGTCTTTGTATGATATCTTTCAAATGTTCTGTCACATAATCATTAAGTACCTCTTTTTCTTTTACATGATTAAAGTCCTTATGATCTAAGTACAATGAACCATAACTGCTTAATTCGTTCATCATTATCTGGTAATACTCATTAGCATCATCCCAGATATGAGTCATCTCCTCAGCCAAGGCTAACATTTGGGACTCTGTATAACCGGTGATCATGATAAGGAAGCAGTTGACGTTAGCTACGGTGAAACAAATGAAGAACACAGCAATCATGAACATTAGAGTAGCCAGTTCATAGTTTGGAGACTCGAACATCGGCTCCAGACCTGAAAGATGGAATTATCTGTATTGAATGATAAGCTTAGAGAGTATGGTTTGTTATTTCTATAGTACTGGTAGTAGTACCAGTACTATAGAAATTTATTATAATATGGTGGACTCCTAAGTGGGAACAATAGTCGCATCACGCTTTTATCACAATAGCCTTTCTACATAACATAACATCACACCTCCTTATCCCCGAAGGGGTAGACAGAGGTCCACATTGTGGCACTTAATGCCATTGCACTATGTAACACCCACTTTTTACTATTTAGGTTATCAGTCCCATGTAATAGGGGTCAGCCTATTGCCATATTCCGGGCACAATTCGAGACTCCATGCTACTACTAAGATTTTTTGAAAAATCCTTATAATACTTTGCCCGACCCGGGAATTGAACCGGAGACCTTTTACCCGGCAGTCGCACTTGCGACCATTTGGCCAACGAGAATCATCTATAAATATAGTAACAATTTCTGAGAATCATAATATATTGTTCTACTAGCGTAAAACTTGTGTTACACCTATTTAAAGAAGTAGATGAGCTCAAAGGATCAGCAGACACTAATTATATCTCATACCAATAATTATAAATGTATCCACAGTCAAATGTCGCCCAGGGGTCACCATTGGTCGCAGAACATACAGCACTGCGTTTATAATCAGTAGCACCCAATAAAAAATCCCTCGCTTCTTCACATTCCTGAGAGCTTTACTCAAGTTTTTTGAAAACCTACTGCCTTTTACTGTCCGGGAATCACAAGCAATGTATCTGTCTATTAAATTCTTGAACTTTGCCCTGAAAATGAAAGAGTGAATTGGTAAAAGAAAAAGAATAACCTATGGAGTTTCTTGCTCGTTCTTCTCCATAGGAATCTATAACTTGGAATGAGCAACTAGCTTCACTTCTAAATTTTTGTTGTTGACGTTCAAACGTGCCTTCCTGGTCTAATTTAAATAAATGATTTTAACTTTGACTTTGTCTTTGGTATAACTATTGAGTTATATCCAAAAATATAAGATTACAGATATCATATCCCAAAGTCATGGTGACTGATGGTTTAAGACGGGGGGTCTTAAACCATCAGGTCACCATGACCCCTTATCAAGCATAAGGGATGTGAGTCCAAAAGACAAGTACCAAGTACGACTTTTTCCAGGTTAGTACTTTCTACGATAATTATTACATCACTGACAAACGGTGAAGGAAAATTTGACTATTAATTTCTAATTATAAGTTTGTAATCGCTAATCCGCATTAAGCAAGCGTGTTGATAAATGCTCAAAACTTTTCCGTGTGAGACGATGCCTTTGGTCAGCAGTGGATACCCATAAGCTGTCTGTGTAATATCATATCACATGTAATGTCATTATAAGTGCCAAAAAAGACAGTCTTCAATAAACTTACTCATAAAAAATCATATAGAGCAGCTTAATGAAAGGAACAGCGCTGGTGCTCATGAGGGAGAAAGCGATCATAGCGGGACCCAGCTCACCAGTCTTGACACAGCGCCAGAGTGAAAACCAGGCTCCAGAGAGCACATACACGTAGATGTAGTCAATGCTCATAATTACCATTGAAATGTAAAATATAGTTAGAATTGCTGCAAAATAAAAAGATTTAGTAAACAATTACTAAGTTGTTCGATGTGGAGGACTAGGAGGTAAATCCTTGTGTGTTCGCAGTGGACGTCTTTCGGCAGATGATGAAAAAATTTCGGTGGAACTTTATTGGCTTTTCAATAAACAAGACAAGAAATCAAGAAAAGAGCGATTCCTTTTTAAAAGGCCGGCAACGCACATATGAACTCTTTTGGTGTTGCGGATGTCCATTGCCGGCGATGATCGCTTACCATCAGGTGATCTGTATGGTCTTTTGCCTTTTATGCCATAAAAATGCACTAAAAAATACATTTCATTTATCTTCTATCACATAAGCAGTGGTCAAATCAAACACAAGCATGTATAATGCGTACAAAGATGGGGAATTATCAACCAATTATAAGACGTGCCCTTTGTTTCTTGTTCGACATTGATTATTTAAAAAATAATTCTAGGTACATACGTGTCTTATTCCTGCTGTCCACGTTAAGAGTCAGGGTTCTCAGCATGGTGGATACATTCGACAACATGTCCGGTAGCTCACAATACTCCAAACCAAATTTACGAATGGCTTCCTTCATTATCAATTTTAGTTTTAATATCTTAATTGGATATCAACTTAATATTTATTTTTTTTATTTTTAAAATTGTTGTCTTGCACTACGATTCTCTTATGTAGGTAATTTTAAGCTGTGCTCTTCTCTAGACATTTTCTGCCTCACACAGCACCTTATGCAATGAACTGTCGTTGTCTGTATTTCCAAACCGATACGACCTTTAAACCTCCAAGAAAATAGTCTAATTTAGCTGTTCATAGCTGGCCAACGCCAACATTAATTAGGTAGTTGACATTTCATTTGAATTCAACAAATGTTTCACTGTATTTTGTTATCAATAATTTATTTAATCTTTTGATTGATTTTTAGTTTTACCAACTTGCATACTATATTTTTTTATAAACTGTACAAAATATATTTTATTCCTACAAAGATAAATCTTCAATTATCTTACAAGGCATGGTAGCCATCGAAGTCCTTTTCAATATCACCTCTTCACAAATGACTTTCAGTTCTAAATCGATCATTAAATTTTACGTTATTCACAAACTTAATTTCTATTTCCACTACAGCTATTTGTTTTGCAATATTGTAGTAATTAACTCTGTCATCGATTTGTCATCACACAGTTATCATGAAGTAATTTGTCGTTTCACCAACATGGTTGTTTGGACAAAAAACATGAGTTGGAGTAATATTATATTTGCTTACTGCACTTTTAGTTCTAAGCGTTTAGTCTATTGTGCTACTTCTATATATAAATTGGTTTCTTCTTTTCTATTTAATACTTTAAAATTTTCATCTGTTGCTATTCTAGTTCCTAATTTGTTATTTAAATCTACTTCATAGTTGATCTCAGCGTCGTATACGCGGAGTATATTGATCTGAAGACCTGCATCAAGCAGCTGAAGCTGAGCATGATTATCCCACCAGCTGATAACTTCATCGTCTTTTGAGAACTTTGGAGCATTGTCAGTACTATCTTCATATTCGAAATGCTGTAGTTCTCCCATTTGCAATCGTATACTGCTCTTTCAAACTTTAGGCTGGCATCCATGACTCTCTGGCCTGTGAAGCAGTCCATACCAACCTGTGCTAGAGCGAAAGGTATCTCTAAATATGTGTTTTCTAGTCCTCCAAGTAATTCTACTACTAAGCCGACTCCTAGAATAACAAATTCTAAAGCTATTGCGCCACTAAATACACTTTCAACTTGATGTAACAAGTTTATGTTTCTTCCATGAGTTTTTATAATGTCCTTGAGATGGCTTTCTATATATTCATTAATAACTTTGTTTCGTATCATCGTGTTTTCTATACTTTCTTCTAAAATGGCATTTGTTTGATGTGTTATGTAATAGTGGGACTCTGCATCTTCCCAGAGATGTAATAATTCTTCTGTGAGGGATAACATTTGTGCTTCAATGTAGCCGGTGACTACAATGAGGAATGCTGTGATGTTAGCTGGAAGGTAGCACGTGAAGATGACTCCTGCCACAGTCAGGAGTGTAGCTATCTGGTAGTTTGGGTTTTCTTCCATTGGTTCCAGACCTGTGAAATAATAAAATGATATTGGAATTATCTATACGTGTGTTACTATCACGTGTGCCAACACTGGTAACTTCGTATCATCTAGGGGCAATTTCATTTATTTATTCATTTGTCAATACACCTTGTGTTTGAATTCCTTTTTATATTTGATGGGCCGACGTTTGACCACAAATTTATAATAGGTACAAAGGTAAAGGTAGCTGAATCTTAAAAACCAATCAATCGCATCGAATGTCCTGTATGTTTTATATTCAATATGCAACATGTTTTGTGTGCAACTAAGCATTAACGAACCAGTGTTGAATTCTATACACCATATTTCAGTGAAATAGTACATCTAAATTGTATGTATTCTTTTGAACAATACCATGTCGGACGTAACTAATATAGGCTTTCGATTTAATCATAAAAACTAAAACACATTTTTAAACGTACACTACTTAATTAACATTACTTCATTAACAATTTAAACATTTAGATTTTTCCACTAAAATGAAATTACATATTTTCAGTGAATAACGTATAATACTCACAGAAATACAAATAACAATTCTTATATCTATTCGAAAAGTTCCAAAACACAAAAGATTGAAGTTAAATCAGGACGAATCCGGCATTTACCACAGAGTGCTCGCAGGTACGAGGTCCATTAGAATTAGGCAAATGTAGTTCCCCGCCGGTACAATTTCTAATTAGCCGGCTATTTCAGATCCCCAGTAACGAGAAATAGGGTTTGGTGAACCGTATAGTAGGCGGTCAATCCGACCCGAATTTTATATCGCTCATCAGACGCAATACTCCCATTCGAAATATCATGTTGTATCTAATGACGTCATATCCAGTAGTAAGGAGAGCAAAAAGTTCCTGTTCGCTGTCAATTTTGAATCGTCTTGACAGTTCGGAGTTGTCAAAATTTCCGTTACAAACGACGGCATTTCATTGGTCGTTGGTATTGGATCTTTTTCTTCTTGCTTTACAGGCCTTATGGGGAGACTATCTTCTGTGGAATTATTGGAATCCTCATACGTGTCATTAAATAATTCTTCTGGGTTATTACTATCATGTCTTCTCTGTAGGACATCATCTAAGAAGCTCATTTGGTCGAAGTAGTTGTTTAGTCTCTTTTCTCTTTCTCTCACTTGTCCTGTGGTTTTACTTGTATATTCTAATCTCTTCTTTTCTTTTTTGTAATAATCTCTTACATTACGCCATTTTTTCTTTAAAAGTTCCACTGAAAACAACGAATAAGAAAATATTATTACGGATAAGTAGTTATTATTTTACCAACAAATACAATTTTAACATCTATTTTTATTACAATTTCTAAGTTACAATTCTAGACTCTGTGATGTGATTAGAAAAAAATCTAAAATAAAAATATCTCCAATCCGCGATTTCCTAAGCGGAACCCGACCCGGAAATCGAACCCAGGACAGTAATTAAAAAACTTAATATTAGGTAGGAATCAATCATAAATTATAATACATGCCTATTACAATTAAAGCAAACTGTACATAGTAAACAGAAAATGGCGTTTATCAATATTACATAAGTAGGTACCTTATACCTACCTACATAATAGTCGAATCAAAAAAACTGAAACTAAATAAAATCCTGACGTAAAACCGCACACGCTCGTGCCGCGGTTGCCGGCCGTCAGAAAACAATGCTAGACAAAGAAAGCAACAACTTACGTCTCTGCACTCGTTGTATTTCAGAGCAAGTGTTCCAATCATGTTATAATATCGCTGCTATCTGTTCCCATGCTTTGATCCTAGTATCAGCTTCTCCATGCAATCTACGATTCTTACCCAACCACAACACATTTCACTTCTTCTATTAATTTTACTGTGTTGAAATTTGCCATATTGCGCACTGTGCGGTTACCGACCCGCCAACTGAATATCTTTCCCTCCCAAGCGTTTTTGCGACGTTGCCGTTCCGTTCTGCTCGAAGCACCAACTTGATTTCCGTTCCGTTCGACCTCAGTGATACGGAATCATATACGGAATAGTCGCGAGATTATTAACCATACCAGCCATACCTATTATTGGAAGCAAGTATAACAGCTCACACACAGGACCCACTTAGTTTTTTAGTCAAATTCCCGTGGTGCTTGGTGGGCTTCACCCAGTTGTACAGTCTCTTCTTTGTGCCTTTAGGCTTAATTCATTCTGTCTCCTGCAGTCATTTACCGAGGGAAGTGGAAACTATAGTTTTTTCTTCTTCTCCTCTTATAATATCTTCTGATTGACTTCGTTGCGGGAACCAAGACAGTTACTCATGTCCCTGGGATGCGCCGAACTTCAATGTTCCGGTGTTTTCATGATTGTATCTACTGATCCTGGCTTACAGGAGTTGCAGCGATTTTGGGAGGTTGTGGCGGGCTTGTCCCATAAAAAAAATAACTTTGCGGTTTGACATTCCGTAAACGGCGCGACTCACAGATTAAAAATAGTAATGTAAAAAAGAATAGTGTAGAATCTTTGAATTTTTTTTTTACTAAATTTCTATAATCTTTGAATTCCTTACCGTAGATTACAAAATTTTGTCTTTATGTACGCATTTGTAGTCGTAGGAAAATATTGGATAGTTTGCTAGTTTATTAAAATCTTTAATTTTTGGAACCATAAAATTATCAAATTCCGTTAATTGTGACAAATTTTTTATGACTGTCCAATCAAATTTATTCGAGACTTATTTTATCCTCCGATAGATGAATATATAGCATTATTTTGTACTCAATGTCAGAAAGAAACCCGCTTCAATCCTGATACTATTTTGAATTAATTTGAATGAACCAACACAATACTTACCATAAAGTATAAACTTGTCTTCAGTAAAATGGCGGCCAGGCAGTATGATAGGTTTGGCAACGTACACAACACCGTTGCCGATGATCACCACCCAGAACACCAGTGCTCGTTTCTTCACCAGCGTCAGAGTGCTCAGTAGATTGGCTGAGAACCGGGAACCGGCCACAACAAGGGCATCGCACGCCAGGCATTCTGACACTATACGCCGCACTTTGCCACTGAGAGAACAGAAAAACGCCCGGAATTAATATCTCATTCTAATCCAAAGTTTCAACATCGGTCTAGATTTTAGTCTTAGGAACTTAAAACTAATATAGCAACAAATAATTTGGATTTAGATAACAACTCAAAACAGCTTTTGTGAAAACATGTGTAAACAAACATGATAGGCATAAGTACATAATGGCATACACACAATACGGTGGTAGTTGACAACTAGTCAAATTCAATACTTTTATCGAAACGTTAAAATGAATTTTGTACGATATACCATCTTCTGACGTCATCATATTTTCGACAATTAGCACACTTATATCTAAAAAAAATGCTAGAATAAATCGAAAATTAAGTATATCGGCAAATCAATGAATGAAAGTGTAACTATTATTCAATATTTAATTGGACTGAAAAATCAAAATAATTTACTTTTGACAAAGG